TCCTAATAGGTTTCAGTAATGTCAGAAAGATAATAGCAGCTCAGCAATAATTTTAAAAGCTACTTTCGAATACATGTTCTATCCTTATACAGTTATAAGTTCTTCAAAGTATCTTATATTGCATTAAGGTGTTTTGATTATTATATTTGCATGCATGTAAACATGAAGTTGTATTTGTCACGCTATTTTAAGCACAGGACAGACACCTCTGTTTCTATATTATGCCTCTGTATACTCTACAACATCATGCATACTGTTCTCTTACATCTGTATTCTAATATTGTTGTGTATTTATATTATACAATTTATCACAAATTACATCTACACAAAAGTCAATGAATACACCTTATTATTATCGACTGCAGGATGCAACAAGTGATTTGTGATTAGTTTACAATCATTAGAATTTTTTATGAAGTTAGGTTATTTTTTATCTTTTTTCTTCTTCTTAATACATTCATCCTTATACAATAAAGAACTTCTAGTCATATCGAAGTTAAATTAAAACAAAAAGGCAAAAGATATTTCAGAGTCAAGAAGGAGATCATCAGGCACGCGTTATCAGATTTTCACTTTCGAATTCTCTGTCTGCATGTCCAATCTTCTTCGACAATATAAAGCATCGCTTGGAAAGGCAACTGGCTTAATTATCTGTATGTATCTGCATACATCTGAAAGCAGTGTTTCAATAATTAATCGCAACTGACACTATCAATGGGGACGACGATTTCGCAACGGCCAATAGCGTTTCCTTATAAACACAACTGTATTTTCCAATCTCCCAAACAGTACACCTAACCGCTTCTGCATTAAGTTTGACTCTGTTGAAGAAGGAAAAGAAGAACAAAGCCTACCATCCTCTTTCAATCTCTGTATGGAACGATTACATCACATCATTAACTATTAAGAAGGACCTTATTGACGAAGAACGTAATTGAAATGCGATAGAAGATATTAAAGGTGCGGGGGTCCATAGAGATAGACGCAACTAAAATTAAACAGCGCTCTCTGAGGTTGTCCTAGACCCTTCTATTGGCACTTAACCGACATTTTCTAGCAGCGACCTAGCGCAACACGTGTTGCGTATGCATTGTCTTCCCAAAAGCAGACGCCAAGCTAGAAGAGGAAGGCTCGACTGATCCTTCGAATAAGGAGGAACGAAATGGCACATTTAATGGACCCGATTACGTAATATCGCGCAACTGTGTGCACCACTATCGAAGCTGCCAGTAATGTCTCGGTATATTTATATAGTATCTGAAGATAAATCGATGAATTAGAAATAGCCGGTGCATGGTACACTCGTCCGAATGTAAAGTATCAGCTGGTAAGGGATCAAGAAGAAATGGGATTTCTCTTACTGAGTTTCTTTTTTAAACGCCAGGTGACGCACACTGATTATTTTGAAATGTACATAGTAGATGAGAAAGTAGATTGAAATAAGCGTGATACATTGTTAGCAAACGTTTCAGTCACACGGAGGCTGCGGAATTGTTTGCTCGACGCCACGGGAGACAAAGGAAACGGCCGGAATGGTATTTTAAACGGACAAGGATGGTCGAGATCGTCCTTCTGCCGGTAACCGACACAGGCAACAGCCTCTCGAGATCCTTTTTCCTCGATACGTCGCTCACACTGCCCGAATATGTATAACTGACGTCACACCTTCTCGGGAGAGCGCAAAAGGACACCCACCGTTGCTCTCCCTCTTTCCTACGTCTTCGTTATTTACCATAAAAATCGTAGCGAGATCGTTACCTCATCCCCCAATTGATTCTTTAATCTCTCAATTGATATCGCCTAGTTATAGATGAAATTAAAAGTCCATGATAATTTCAATGAACATAACTTCGGTTTACTTAATTCAACGTGTGTGTTCTGTACTTTAAATGGTGGAAGGTATCAATGACACGAAGGAAGATATAGAATAATAATTTGAAATGAAATATTCCAAAATCAACTTTAATCGAATCTAAATTGGTCATCTATTATATATCATCAATAGCAATACCAAATATTTCATTTATATCGATTATACATTCAGATTATATCTCATTTGACACCTCGTGGAGATTATTGATTCCAGAGATCAATTTTACGTCGTTTTTCCCAATTGATCGTTTAGTTATGCTCTTCTATGACTAATTTGCCGAGTAAATCTATTGCTACCCACATCGCGCTACATTTTTCTCGGAAATGCTTGCGATTACCAGGAACTTTTATTCATGTAAAATTCCACAAGTTTTTAAAACGATTCTTCATGAGAGATGATAGAAGAGGGGGAGTATTCTGTAGTGACCTTGAACTTCTGTTAAATTTCAAACAATCTGTAACTTCTAATTTCCAACCGATAAAAAAATAAATTATCGGCTACCTAAGGATAGCTTTCACTCATAAAATCTACCACGTCATTCTTCAAATATCTATTTGATATTCTCCACGATGAATTTCTATTTTTTAATTGGCGATTGATGGAGCACGGTTTTTATGCGTTTGTGTATCTTACTTTTTTTTTTTCTAAGAAATCTGTCACTTTAAAGAAACATGTCATTTAAATCCTGACGAGACTTTGTAAAACGAGCAGGAGTCTAGCAAACGGAAGTGTCACGCTGACGATACGTGTGCACTCGCGCATAATTGCCACGCGCGTTTTCTGCGGGGGCACGTTTTCAGGCAAATATTGCGCGTCAATCAGTGCTTCACGATCGATAATTTTTCCTCTATCGAACCGGAAATATGAAGCGTCACATTAACAAAAAACTTCCTTTCTATTCATCGTATTTTACTTGTTGAACTCTGATCTTCCCCTTACGTTCTTTACCAATCTGAGATTTTCAAGGCGTATCGTAGATGAAGAAGAAATTATAAATTAAGAATTCTAGATTCGTAAAATTCATCGTATCTTCCTGAATAGCTAAATATGACAAAGATCGAACAATACGATGTAAACAAGAATAGTAAAAGCGCAGAAAATGTAAATACGTGAAAGTTTGTAGAAGGTGTGAAAAATGGTATCTGAAACGAGAGAGTGATTTACAACCAACATTAGAGCAACGAAACCGCCTTGTAGCCGATCTTTCCATTCTTGGAGTAGTGCCCGGATCATTTCTCGACTACGACGATTATGTTTGGACGAATGTCAAGACCAAAACTGGTACGTGGCGTTTATTAACGATCAACGGATGCCTAGGCATTTCATTTCTTCATAGTAAACCGATTACTAACTGCAACAACTCGATTGAGTGTCTTCCAGATTACACGAAGAAATAAATTACAAGAAGAAAATCATTCGAGAGAATTATGCAAATTTCGACGGTGCCATCTTCCAATTGTCAAGAAGAATTTAAAGCAGATGAATCAGCTAGATATACTTCGGAATAGTTTTTAGTCAAACTTAAGGTTCATTTTGGAAGAATATCGTCTAGGGGCTGTACAGTTCTCGGAACAAGATTGTCCAAGGCGGCCGTCGATTGATAAGGCCGACAGCCTTCCCGGCCGCGTTACGAACACAATAGGCATCCGAAACATTCGGAATTGCATGTTACGTAAGGCGATCGAGTCCAGTTCTCGAGGCGCCGGTGAATTTTAAATATCGAAGACCCGTTTCCAGCCGCGTTCCTCGCGCCGCTAAATCGCCAGCTCCTTTTGGCTGATCTACTTTTCCAATTACACGACCACGCTTACATGGTACTTCAACGTAGACGATCGATGAAACCGGAAAATTCCAGCAACGGCATTGTTTTTCTCGGAAGAAGCTACTGACCCGGTATTCTTGCCTTGCATGGAGAATTTTTTCTGTGATTATAGAGTCCGAAGAGACTTCAGAAACTCTTCGAAAAGTCGAAGAAGTCAACTACTACTTTGATTCTTTACGATTAGTGGAGATTGAAAGGCGTGTTGGAAAAATATCAAGCAAACCGGATTAAGATTTCAGATTATTAATGGATAGAGAATGGAATTATCATGTAAGGACAACGTATGAAGTGGAAGGGTGTTCTTCTCGCGGTAAGCTATTGGAACGACGCCCACGACGACCCACGTTGCGATGACTGTTCGCGTGGTTTTACCTGCGACGCTGGTTTTGCGTGTAGGCAGGCCAAAATCACTACCGAAACTGGCGTGAGTCATGGATTTCGCGATCCTCCCGTGATCACTGCAGATTTATTATAAGCTACAGGATGCTTCCTAATTCGTGGACTGGCAAGACTCTCTTCTCACCCGCTGCGTTCGCCAATATTAATAATCGAAGCCGACGATTTCCTCGCATCGACGAAATTTGTATATTTCCCGCGCGTAAACCTTTCGACGATATTTGTCTAATTTTTATATAGAACGTCGAAGATTTACGAGGATGAAAAGATAGGAAACGACCTGTACAGCATTGCCTCGGACTAACGTCCTCGACCTGATCGCGGAGGTGGCGTCGACGATCGCGTATGGACATGAAACGCGGTCCACCTGGCGCGCACAGAGAATTCCTGCTCACCTACTAACACACTCCAACGATTTCACGCGAGAACTCCAGCTAGAATCACCAGCCACGATCAGGAATCGATTAGAGTCGAGAATCTCCAACATAGCACATTGATTCGGAAAAAACTAGTTTCTGAAGTCATACACCTTTAACGAACGGTTTCTCTCGCGTAGTTCTTTAAACTGATCATTTAGAAACGTAAAATGGTCCGTTTCCAAACTTGGTCCTCGCAGAAATCCGTTTGCAGAATGAAACATTTTCACTCGAGCATCTCTATATATCATCTTTTGAATGTTGAGATCAATGGATTGTTTTGGTGTACGTGATTCAATGCATTCTATAGCCCTGTTGGCTGATCAAAGTAATGGAACGAGCAGAATGCAAGCAGGCTGCTTTTTCTTGCCCACCAGGTGGAGGGAGGGACGTAGAAGAGCCGTGAAGCGGGATAACGTAATGACCTCCACCTCCGTGTTTCCAACTATTTTCGATACACGTCTCGGCTAACTTTAGCGTTTTCGTTAGTCCAGTCTTTGACTTTGAGCCCTCAGTTTTCCACCGGGCACTGTCTCACGCGCTCCATTCTCATTTCCTCTGTGAACTCTTGTGTACCAATTTAATCACTTCCGCTATTGTCACCGCAGCTCTATTTAAAATTCAAAGTCGATCGCTATCGAGGATGATCGGTCCACGTGAAACGAGTCTCGGTATGGTTCAGTAGTGATGAAAGATGCGCGACGCGAAGGAAGAAGCATGTGTGTAAGTTAAAGTTCTGAGCCGATGCAGGCTTACGCTTCACGAGTTCATTTTTTAAACATAACGATCATCCTTTTGAGATAGGAGAGAGACATGTAACTAACTGGGTGGATAGGCGAATTTTGTTTTCCATGACGCAAAAGGAGCCATTTATATAAGGCTGGCCGACTATTTCGAAGATGGCACGCAAAATTAACTTGGTGGAATATATTCGCGCGTTCACTGGAATACTACATAGTACGTGGGAACTATTTTAGAAGTCCGCCGCGTATTTTTTGCCGGCGCTCAGCCTGTCGCCATTCAATGGTGTGCATTCCAACGATTCCTCGACCGATCTCGATTTTACCTCGCTGTACAATTTCGTCGACTTTCTATTTTTCCTCTTTGCGTCGATCCTTGGGAAATCGACCAGCCACGAGATAAAATAGAACATCAAAGAAATAATCGAGTCCCCTGTTGCCCCGGAGATCCGTCACTTTTGCCGGCTTTTAATCGGACCACGAATTAACTCGAGCGCTCTTTTCACTGTACAAAGCAGGTCGTGTTGATTGAACGCTTTTGAGACGCCTTCATGGGCAACAGGTGGTCGGAAGTTCCTTTGAAGAGAGTACCACTGGAAATCATTTCCAACGTCAAATCCACGAGGACCGTTTCTGCAACTAATCTACCAATTATAATTCAGTTATCATCTAATAGATAACAGCTGCTTCGCGACGTTTTTCTATCTTTATTTTCTCGTTACATGAATTATATTTGTTATGTCGCGTGAGACGATCCGCATACCATCCCTCGTTACCTGGCCTCCATAAACCTCAGGGCCCACCATAAAACACTTTGAAGTTAATCTCTTTAAATTGCTGGAATCTCTAATCCTGTGAAGGTTTTGTTTTATGAATGGTCCTCAGAAAGTCCTTAGGTTTATCGTGTGCTCTTACAAATTACGGAGAAAGTGGGCTTTTCCTCGTACACAATGTCATCTACAAACTAATCTTTTCAACTTGCAGGAATCTCTAATCCTGTGAAGGTTTTGTTTTATGAATGGTCCTCAGAAAGTCCTTAGGTTTATCGTGTGCTCTTACAAATTACGGAGAAAGTGGGCTTTTCCTCGTACACAATGTCATCTACAAACTAATCTTTTCAACTTGCAGGAATCTCTAATCCTGTGAAGGTTTTGTTTTATGAATGGTCCTCAGAAAGTCCTTAGGTTTATCGTGTGCTCTTACAAATTACGGAGAAAGTGGGCTTTTCCTCGCGAACAATGTCATCTACAAGCTAATCTTTTCAACTTGCAGGAATCTCTAATCCTGTGAAGATTTTGTTTTATGAATGGTCCTCAGAAAGTCCTTAGGTTTATCGTGTGCTCTTACAAATTACGGAGAAAGTGGGCTTTTCCTCGTACACAATGTCATCTACAAGCTAATCTTTTCAACTTGCAGGAATCTCTAATCCTGTGAAGGTTTTGTTTTATGAATGGTCCTCAGAAAGTCCTTAGGTTTATCGTGTGCTCTTACAAATTACGGAGAAAGTGGGCTTTTCCTCGTACACAATGTCATCTACAAGCTAATCTTTTCAACTTGCAGGAATCTCTAATCCTGTGAAGGTTTTGTTTTATGAATGGTCCTCAGAAAGTCCTTAGGTTTATCGTGTGCTCTTGCAAATTACGGAGAAAGTGGGCTTTTCCTCGTGAACCATGTCATCCACAAGCTGCGTTGGTAGAAGGCTTCCTCTACCTATTCTCATTCATCAACGTGGGTTATAACCAATGAGCATTGTGCACTGCAGACAAGCAGTAAACAGTGAAATCTCATCTAGACAACCATCAAATCACATTCGCCAACACGAAAAGAGTCTCAGGTCGTACTCGCTCGTAGTTTTGAATTGCATCAAATATTAAAGTGGGCGTAGTTGTTGGAAATATATATGTCGGAGATGAAAGGACACCGGAGCCTTCCCTCTGGAACTTCGGGAAAATCCGTAAAATTGTAATTAAAGTTTACAGTCGTAATTAAACAATCTGCCGTCATCCTACCCAATTGTACTTGTTTGCGAGTTGTGATAATAAACTTGGGTCGAACGTAGCCGCGGTCAACGGGACGGACGCTTCGCCTAACAAAGGTGTGGAGTTATAGTATGACTCTCGTTAAAAGAAATACCAATAGAGGTACTTGACAGTAAAACATTTCCTTCGGACAATGAATACCTGATGTTGACGCACAAGTCCAGTTAGCCCGAGGACCCGCTATAAAACCTGGGCTTTTCCGGCAATTAAGATTTTCCAAACTGACAGACAGTCTTTGTCCCAAACTGACCAAATTGACAGCGACGTCAATTTCCCTTACTTTCGGTACGAGGGCTATACCCGACGAATCCGATGATCTCGTGTCCTTAGACACACCCCATCATAGTTTTCCTCTGTGGTATCATTGGGACGAAACGTTCTTGAGATCCCATCGACGAAGGAAGCAGCGTCTGACGATCGGTGAGTTTGAGTTAGAGTATATCTTTCATCCCGTTGACCGTGGATTCGCCATCGAACCTAAGACCAACGTCACTAACATCGCAAGTGCCCAACTACCGCTGTTGATTATCGAATCGGTTGTGTCCATACTGTGTAGCATCAGGCCGTATCTTCGTTCACCCACAACCCTGTTTCTGACTCCTCTCCGACATATACAAGGTGATTGGTGGTACAAGCGGGAAAGGGGTGATTCTAGGCGAAAAAAGAAGTCGAAAATATAGAATAAAAATTCGTCGTTCGAGGCTTTGTTTTCGAGAAAATCGACTTTGAATTTTCGGTCGGTACGCGTGCACTTTATCGCGTCTCGTTATAACGGATCTCACTGTAGATCGTTGTCTCGATGGAAAAATTTAAAAAAAGAGAAAAAAATTTTTTATTCTACGTTTTTGATTTCTTTTTTCGCGTAGAATCACCCCCTTCCGCTTGTACCACCAGTTACCGACTACCCTGTATATTATAACCTTAAAATAAGCGTTATACTCGAAACAATATTTCGTTGAATTTGTTAACATGATAGAAAACTATCTTAAACGTGGAAGTATATAGGTCTTCTTTCTTCGTTAGAATTTATACTGGCCAGATTATCGCAATCTTTGGAAGGTTTAAAAACCTCTGTCGTACGTTATACTATCGAGCATTCTTTCCTATGTAGTTTCTGCCTTTTCTAAAGATGGCCCTTTCGTTCAAAGCAACTAGACTGTTGGAGAGTCGTATCTATACGAAAGCTGTATCTCTCCCTTCTGATTCGTTCGTGTCTCGTTACATGGTTGCCAATTGGTCTGCTAATTACTATAACCGTCTCTCTGCATTGCTTGACAGGTGGTTGCCTAAATCCTAACACCCAAGTGCGAACACTGTGAACGATGGTTGACTATTACAAAGTACTAGAAGTGCAGCGAACCGCCACGAGCGGGGACATCAAAAAGGCGTAAGTAATGACTCGGTAAAAGCAGAGCAGCCCGTTATCAACGGAGAAGAATGTACAAGAATACTCGAATGTTTAACTTGCATTTGATGATATTCTATTATAAGATTGAATTAGTATTGGAAAAAAGTTATAAAAAAAAGCCAAGTTCAACGAGGATATGTGTTATAAAGATATATATATATATATATATATATATATATATGTATGTATGTTCCAATGAATTACCTTATCATAAATAAGTGTGATTACTTGTTTGTCATTGGTGCTATTTTATTAGACGAATGGTAAATGCGATAGGTGGGGAAAGACTGAATGAATGGCTTTTTATTTCAACTCCGTTGAGGCAGCTGGCTCTGATCCAAAAGTCGATCAGTATTCTCGGTTAGAGGGAGTCAAGAGACTTCTTAAGTTCTACTATAAAGAAGCATCGCTGGTCGGTTGATTAAACAAAGCATTGCCTTACAGATATAGAAAATTGGCATTGAGATGGCATCCAGACAAAAACCCTGATAACCTGGAAGAAGCGAACAAGAGATTCAAAGAAATATCCGAAGCATACGAAGTCTTAATTGACGGTAAGCTTCAGCCGTTTCTCGTCGTCCTATCGTCGACTCCGAAGCGGACCTTATTATTGAAATTATCCTTTTCCAAAGAATCGATCATCTTCAACCTAAAGGATTTTTCTAAATCTTTTTATCTAAATGATAATAGTTTTAATTATGACTCTGTCTCTTTCTACGGCTTCGATTAATCGACGCTAGAGCTAGCTTTAGTAACGAAAACAGTGCGTCGCGATGTCAACGGGAGACGAACAACAGCAGCTCCTGCTTGTCAGCAAAGCCGAATTTCGCATGAGCCTTTTCTTTCGAGCGGTCTCCAAGTAGTACAACTTATTCTGGGAGCCAGCAGTTCAATCTAGAACGAATCGATTCTCCTTTATGAATGACTGTTTCATAACCAGCACTTGATACTAGCAAAGAGGAGGAGCTGCGAGAATTAATCGTCATCCAACAATAATACTAGAACCTTAATCAATTGGACAATTGATATTCTGACAGTAATTTATTCTAGAATATTGCACGAGAAATAGGATTGCGAATGAGTACTCGCAGTTCCGAAACTTTGATTCTTGAGTTTCTTTACAAGTTCCATCTCGTTTTTATGTTTTTTAAGTTTGACGTTTAAATTTTTGTTAACTTTCTGCTGTATTTAGTAAAAAGAGCGATCGTAACGTTGCGTTGTTGAAACTCGAAAATCGAGTCAGGCTTGAACAGAGAGAGCAACTCTTTAGCCGAAGCATCGCTGCGACAACTGACAGACTCTGTCGTGTCGACATACGTGGGAGGAAGTAAAAGAGAAATTCAATCAGAAATGTTTGTTTCCGGTCAATCTCTCGTGACCGTGCTCGATGTCCAGATGCGAAGAGACGAACCTACGACCAACGATTGTATCAGAAGGCATCCTCGAGGCCCGGCCGTGGATTCACCTACCGGAGTTTCTTTGACTCCCCTTTCCAGCGATATTTCGGTACCACTTAAGAGAAAAAAGACTTTGAGAGTGACCAAACATTTTTCTTCATTTTTTTTTTTTTAAGTTTTATTTTATTTTATTTTTATTGTTTATTTTGAATTTGATTTTGCCTTTCTTTCTCTTTCACTTTTTTTTTATTTTTATTGTTTATTTTGAATTTGATTTTGCCTTTCTTTCTCTTTCACTTTTTTTTTATTTTTATTGTTTATTTTGAATTTGATTTTGCCTTTCTTTCTCTTTCACTTTTTTTTTATTTTTATTGTTTATTTTGAATTTGATTTTGCCTTTCTTTCTCTTTCACTTTTTTTTTATTTTTATTGTTTATTTTGAATTTGATTTTGCCTTTCTTTCTCTTTCACTTTTTTTTTATTTTTATTGTTTATTTTGAATTTGATTTTTTTTTTTTTTTAAGTTTTATTTTATTTTATTTTTATTGTTTATTTTGAATTTGATTTTGCCTTTCTTTCTCTTTCACTTTTTTTTTATTTTTATTGTTTATTTTGAATTTGATTTTGTTTTTCTTTCACTTTTTTTTTTATTTTTTTGGATTTTATTTTTTTATTTTAATGGAACATAGACTAAGAACAGAAATATTATTTAAGGCATAGCAAATGTTTTACTGGCGAAAAATTCAGCATATGTCAGGTATCCTAATCCCTCATTCGCCTTAAAAGAGTCATTCCTTACTCGAACTCGTAGAACTCAGGAATCTCTAATAGGGTTTCTTGACCAGTTTCCCTACGAGTCCTTGTGGAAAACTCGAAAGATACTTTTTTCTCTTTGTATGAGTCGCCGTAAATGCAGATAATATTTCCTGTAATCTTACCGCATTTCTAACAATTCTGCCATTGCTCGACTGATTGAAAACACAGGACCGATTAAGTTGTTACCAATAATTTTCTCCTAAGAAAGACAGATCTTCGAAGAACTAAGTCGTTCCATCGTATTTATATTAAGAAGCAGTATTTAATATTGGAATTATTTGATCTCTTAAAGTTTTCACAAATTCTTCGAAGGCTGTCTACGTTCATTTCATTCGTCCACGATTCCCGCGATCGTTTCCTCTTTAATGATTTTGCTCTTGCGGTGGACGACCTCAGATTGATATTACAAATCATTCAGCGTATTCTACTAACCTGACAAGCCTTGCAGTACTTGCTTCTTGGAATTTGGAGCAAATAAAATCAAGCAATCTGCCTTCAACTTTTATTTTACAATTAGTAATAATCACTTATTGTTTTTCTTTACTTACTTACTTTTCAGAAAAGAAAAGAAGGGTCTACGATCAGTATGGAAAGGAAGGACTTCAAATGCCCGGTGGTAAGAGGCGACACAAGGATGACTTTGATCCACACTTCACTGGTACCTTCATGTTTAGAGACCCTGAGGAAGTATTTAAAGAATTCTTTGGTGGCACTTCTTTCGAGAACCTGTTCTCTGGTAAGTAAACCCATCCTGCTAGTCTTTGATCGGTGAATCTGTATAGTATCAACTACATGTACCCTGAGACACATAGAATGAAATATTTGAGCACGCAAATAAGTATGCATTTACCTTATCCACCGAATGATAAAAACGCGTTCAAGTAATTAACCGAATAATAGATGTTTAAATAGTAGTAAGAACCATGTGATTAACTGGTGTTTTAATTGTCCCAAAGACCTTGCTGAAATCGGTGTGCGCCTCGGACCCAACAGGCATAGTCATCCAAGCAGTAACAGCATTAGCACGTCATTCTTTGGTCCGTTAGGAGTTTCTCACTTTGGTTTCTCACCATTCAACAACTTGTTTGAAGGTTCGTCAGGAAACTTCACCTCGTTCAATGCGTTTACGAGTTTCGGTGGAGCCAGCGGTGGAGGTGCTGTGAAACGGACAAGTACTTCAACTCGATTTATCAACGGCAAAAAGATCACCACCAAAAAGTAAGAACAATAATACATCGTACAAAAGAGTTCTTTAAAGAATTTATCATAGATATTAAATCGTATGTAAGTGATGCCCATAAGACATGAGACGTCACTTATATTTGTAAAACAACCTGAGATCTTCGATAAAATTTTGGTGTATTACCTGCAAGATGTACAGAAACAGATAATGATTTTTATCTGTGATTGTTACAGGGTTTTCGAAAATGGAAAGGAAACAATAATGTCGTACGAGAATGATGTGCTAAAGTCGAAGACGGTGAACGGCGTGCCACAATCAATAACGTATAGTTAAATCAGTTCTCTATCAAGAATGTTCGCTCGATCTCCGCTCGGCAATTGAGAAATTCCTGTCCTCGTGTCACGTTTGCGAGTAATATTTCTGCGCTCTACCGAGATGTTATGTTCCTGCTACCTATCTACCTGATATGAATATAAGAAAATAAAAGAAAAAAGAGCATAATCGTCACCGCGGCTAATTTAATAATTCAAAATGTTCTTGTGTCTCTTATTTAGATCGTCTCTTCATCAATTTACTTCTTCGTTTTATTGTTGAAATATTCTGTTAGAAAATATTGTTTAAATGTAATAGTGCCGCTGGTCGACGTACTTCTGCACACATTATACAACAAGAGAACGATAAAATACATATACATATATAATATATATAATATATATAATATATAATATATATAATATATATAAAATATAATATATATATATCACTTTAAAAAAGAAAAAGAGAGCAGTGAGATTTTGAGAAACAGCGATTACTCGACGAAATTCGATGACAGTGATTGGATCTCTAAGCTCGAGCGATCGAGTCCGTTTAAAACAAAGAAAGCAGGAAAACTTGCTTAATTTGGAAAAACTAACACATAAACAAAACACAGCCGCGACAAATTTGAGCTTTTGTTCCCGTCACCTTCTCTGTTTTACCAGGTTTGACGAGTCATCGACTAGTCGCCAGCTAATCGACAGTGCCAGCGATATCTCGATGGCTGGCCAGAACTCGAGAACAGTCCATGGTGACCATCAGAAGGCTAGCAGAATAAAGACGCACCATCATCCACTTCTCACTAAGAAGCACGATAAGAGTAAGAGAAAATAGAGGCAACACTTTTGCAGCCTTCTCTCATTCGTTTTTTTGTCCGTATCTTTTTCATTTTAGTCTCTTCGTTTTATTCTTTTTTTTTCGAATTAAACGCATACATACATAAACATACATTATATACGTACGTACGTGTATCATTTACGGAACTGATGTTGTAAATTATATCATTTCTCGCAACGTCGCTTTTGCTATTGTCTAAATAATCGGGATTAAAAAAAAAGAAGAAAAACTCTTCGTGAATTAGCATTGACTGATCACAAATGTTCGATTTGATCAATAAATAAAAAAAAAAAAAAATTCGCTGCAAAATTCATTGTAAGATTTTGCATCGAAAGTGGCATGTTTAATTGATTCTCGTTCGCTGTTGAGAGAGAGAGAGTGAGAGAGAGAGAGAGAGAGAGAGAAAAAGAAGGCCCTTCTTTCTGCAAAGGAACAGAGGGATGTTGTTACTACAGAACATTCTGTTGCGTGTTATAGATAGCGCGTCGTTTCCGTTTAAAGTCTGGCGTGTTATGTTTAATACGGTAAGTTTCGCTTATCCTAGATTCCTTAGACAATTAATTTACTACGTCGTAAGTTATATAATTGCTAGATTTTTATTTGTAAGTAAGCTGCACGAATTTCGAGCGTGCATTCACACAGGAACTTCGACTGAGTTTAATCGAATTTAAATTGTTAAAACATACACGTACACACGAGGCTGAATTTCATCACGCGTATATTCGTTTAGGACATCACGATGGACTTGCAGCCGTAACAATTGTTCTTACAGGATAAAATTGTATTACGAGAAATTTTACTACAATGGATCTTTTCCTTCGTTTGTTTTCTACTCGCGGTGAAGCATTCATGATGAAAGAAATGTTCCTTTTTTTTCTTTGTAATCGATTCGTGAGAAAAGAATTGAAACATATACAGGACTATTCTTTTCTGTGGCAGAAATATTTCTTCACAAGCAATTTATGTGTCGTAATTTTATTTGTTTACGTTAGTTAATTTCATATGTATCTGTATATAATAAGGACAAAAATGTTAAAACTGAACGTGGAGAAGAAAAAAAAATACATCATTAATGTATGGTAGTACATTTCATTACTCTCTATCGATATCCAACACTATGTCTCGTCTCTGATGTTCTCTCTTTTTGTTTGTAACAACATTTATCTCAAGGTGGGATACTAGTATAAAATGTCAAATTATAACAAAGTATTTACCACTTTATTTTGATCTTTTTTCTCAGCTTTACTGATATTTATAATATTCATACAGTGAAATTCATTTATAAATCGATATTTATATAAAGAAGATAGGCGAGAAATGTAAAAGTTATCCAAAACGAAGGGAGGACTACTTCTTTTTTTATATTTTCACCGTTATACGCTTCGATGTGGTATTAAAACTCGTGTATATGTATTCGAAAGATAAATATGTTAACAGTTGCATGTCGGTGAGTGAATATAGTACATGTATTGACTCCTCGCAAGTCAACAGCATCGACGTTGTAAATAGCTAATCAGTGATAGCAAAATAAATTCAGCTACCACAAGAATATTGATTCATCAATTCGATATATCAATTCCTTTTAGATAACATGATTTTTTACAATTCTTGTCCATACCCAGCATAGACAATTGAATTGTTTCCTCAAATATCAAAAAGATTAGTTGAAAATGTATTCTAACATTTTTGCAACTACCTTGGTATCAAAGACAATCAATACATTGCACATTTATAAGTATGTAAAAAAGACAAAATTTGGTAAAAATGCTTAAATAAATGTTCAGTATTATAAATTACTTCTTCCCAATAACGGATATCAGTTCTTCCACTTTCTGAATGTATTGTTCTTTCGCAGCATCTTGACTCATGCCCTTCCTTTTGTCCCAAGCATCCCACTTGGCTTTGCCTCTGAAATCTAGCATGCCTGGCCTGGCTGGAAAAATTAAAATCTTCCTTGAAAAGAATAGTACTATCGATGTCACAGAATTCTCATTAGAATTCAACAAGTTTGAAATCACATAAAAATATCTCATCATTTATTCAGCTTTTAAATTTGGTTTCTGTAGGTCTAATAACATTCGCTGTGCAATTGAAATTGCAAATTAAGAAGACCACAGAACAAAAGTGTAGTTACGTAATTTTAGTATTACAATAAATATTTACTTTAACTTGTTGCATCAAGTAACGTAATCATATTATAATTTTGGAGATCTATTCAAGATCTTTCCTAATACATTTATACAAATAGATCCAAAAATTTTCAGCCAAAGTATATTAAGTAATACTAAATGATCACAAGTTGTTTTACATACTTGTGTTGCAATCTCCAACTGTAGCTTGTTTGTAAAGTGAGTATAGTTCAAGCAGGTCAACATCTGAAGCTGGAGCGCGCAATTCCTTCACCTCCTCAGCAGCCTTGTTAAATCTCTGACAAAAAATATACAAGAATAAAAGAATAATTTTTATTTCTTTTTAATGAAATTGTGGAAAAATTCAAAGTATGTACAAGAATTCAAGCAACCAGTAAGCAATAATGACAAAATATTGTCTAATTACAATATTTTATGTTATTTATGTTATTACGTTAACGTAATTAAATATAAAATTAATTACTTCATCGAGAGACATTGTGCTTTAATGACAAAAAGATCAAGACAAGATTTGAAACTTTAAGAATTTCACTGTCGTGTTGTGCTACTGTTTCGGATCTATAGAACGTTGGCCTGGAAATACAATCGATTAACATTCTCCCACTCCTGTACTTACTACGTACGATACGATCACGACCACCAATAAACTTTCATGCCATCAAGACCTTGATTAATAAATAATTATATCACAGCATGTTATCATAGTATTAGCAAAATTTTTATTCAATTCAACTTTAAGTTCTTGTGTTATATGTATTTATTTTTATTCTACATCCGTGGCAAGCACATTATAGTGTTCTGATATGATTAATGGCAGTTGATGACGTCACATTGGGGGAAGAATAGCGATACTAATAAGAATGCAAAGGAAATTGAGGACGATATTAAGAATAATTATTAAAAACCTTCATTCAAATAGCAATCGAACGTTTCGTAAAAAGCAAATCTATTTTTAGATGAAGTTGGAAGGTCGATGTTGAAATGTTCTCGATGGTTCCCATCTTCTTCAATGATGGTTTAAATATACATGCAAATCGTTAAGAATATCTTATGAAGACTAAAAAAAAGGAGGATAAACAATATATGAATATGTAATAAATGGACTGCGGATTTTTGTGCATTTATTTGAAGGTGCAAAGATCCACATAATGCATGCAGTGCAAAAATATACATATAAAATATTCAAAGTAGAGCGTTTGTTATGATATGTAGTAGATGAATTTCTTTAATTGTTAATCATAAAAATCCACAGTTTAGTAATAAACTAGAATTGAGGACCAGTCAATGAATGTAAGTAATCAATAAATTGTTTCCTTAGTACCAATATTTCGGATTGTATTTTTGATTAATTGTATCTCGCAACGACGTCATTTAGTCAACTTTTACTAATTTAAATAAAACAGAAGTTATATAATGATTAGATATTACGACATTCTTACGTTTGAAAGAAGAAAAATTTAATGATATTAATATTATTACTACGTAAAATATGTAACTATATATACATGTATATATGAATCTGTGTATAGATCACATGTAGTAGAGAATATTTTTTTATCTTCTAATGGATATGGCTAGATGGCGACACTTGACCACTTCCACGTAAAAAATGGCGGACTGCAAGGGTGCGTTTTGTGATTCTTTTCTTATACAGTAAATTAACGATAAATTCTGCACGATTATGTAAATTATAATAATTGAAAATTCATAGGAAATCATTGTTTTTCTTTATCCATGTTATTCTTCTTTGATTCCTATGTATTTCCGTATTTTCCTTTCTCGGCAATATTTACTCTGTAGAGCGTTACAACAGATTGAGGAAATAATTTTGTTTGACAATTATGTTAACTATCTGTTTTTGAATTTCACGTAGAAAATAAAGAAGAGACGAATCGACCATCCTATGTTTTAAAGGTAGATCCACCACAAGAGTCACCGGGGGATTCACCTGAAAATTCCAACAGTGGTAAATACGCAGTGTTATTTTTTGTTCCACATGCGTAACTTTATCATCAGTTTTTTCTATGATATTTACATACAGTTGCTATATTTGATATATTTTCGTTATCTCGCTACAATGTAGCATAGTTTCTGACCTGTCTCAATAACTTTTGTTGGAAACCACATAGGTTATGATGTGATAGGTATTATTTGCATGTAACAATTTATGACTAGTAGTTTATGAAATCTGAACTTTTTCAGAAGAAATGGAGAGCTCATCGACAGAAAATAATATCCGGGAATCACCTTCGAGTTCTAACAAGCCAGTGTTAGCTGCGTCAAAGTTTAGAACAACGTTTGGGTGTAGTGATTCCATCAAGAACTTAGTCGAGGAAAGAAAGTCATCCACGTTGTGGCCCTCTCAATTGAGCACAGTGACAAACAGTCAGCCTACTACTAAAGTATATCTACAACCAGCTAAGTTTCAGAATCCGTTTGCAAAAGCCACAGATTCATTATTAGATGAAAAGAATAAGGAAAAGGAAAATAACAAAACAGAAACAAAGGAAGATAAGAATGAAGAAAAGGATGATAAAAGTGAAAAGAAAAATGATAATAGTGAAGTAGGAGAAACTAAAGGTGAAGTAACAGAAAGTAAAAGTGAAGTAAAAGAAGCTAAAAGGGAAGACAAGCCAATTGAGGAAGTAAAGCCCACCTTCCTGTTGCTAGGCACAAGCACAAAAGATAGTGTAAATACTACAATAACGCCTTGTGCGTCAGAACCAAACTTTGTATTTGGTCAGAACCTACAGGAACGCGTTATGATTGCGAACGATGCAGAAAATTCCGACAAAACGGAAGACAAGGAGAAAAAGGAAAAGAAGGAGGAAAGCACAAATGCAAATGGTTCCACAGAGCTTCTTTTTTCCAGTGCGTCAGCAGCATGCCGTACTACCTCCAAATCAAATCTAACATTAACCGAAGCTGCCCAAAAATTAGAAGAAGCAAACCGTGCTAATAAGAGGAAGTATAGTCAAATAACACCATTAACTGGTGAAGAAGGAGAAACGAATGTTCTTCAGATTAACTGTAAATTCTTCGCGTTTGATAAGGTTTGTATAAGAATTATTTCTGCTTTCAATTTTTCAGAATGATTCATTCACGATAAATTTCCAATTTTGTTCAGGCTAGTGGCAGTTGGCAAGAAAGAGGTAGAGGTACTTTAAGGCTAAACGACCGCGACGAAGAATCTCGATTAGTGGGACGCACTGCAGGGACGCAGAGATTAATTATGAACACAAAAGTATGGCCAGGAATGATCGCGGAACGAGCGGCACTTAAATCATTAAGACTAACGGCGATGGATGTTCAAGGAAGTATCAGAATCTTCATTATTCAAGCAGCGCCAAAGGAAGTGGAACAACTCCATGATTTGTTGGAAGAGCGGCTAGTACGCGCACAGCTACGCCACCCCAAGAAATTAGCTACTGAACAGTGACAGTCGATCAGTCGTCCCTGCGAGCTGTTTGCCAGTTATCATCTGAATGTACGCGACGCAGAAGTTGCTAACACGTGAGAACAAGATTCGGGAAACTACGTCGAAGTTATCAGGCCCTATTTGTTTCTATAGTAATTCGTACACAATAGAACTATGGCTATGATTCGCGCTTTTTCCCCTTGTGGATGTTCTTAGACTTCGATGATATATCCCGTGGTGCACTGATGTTTGCAGACAAGCAAGAGGAGACAAAAAAGGCGAAAATACCAAGCCAAATTCTTTTTGGTATATATTTTCTAATCATTCCCAACCGATAATTCTTTTACACGAATTTCAAGCAGCGTTTTTTAAAAGGAACCGAGGAAACCACTGGCTAGGGAGTTTTGATAATAGCATAATACGAACACACATATACACATATACACACACAAATCAGTCACGAAACCGTGTTGTACGCTTTGAAGAAGAACAGCGTTTTTAGTTTCCAGTGATCAGTCTCTTTATAAGAATCATTTGGATTTTTATCGTAGCGATGTTCGTATCGATTTAGGATTCTCTATTCCTTGTCCGCTATACATAAATATAAATATATAAATATTGTACCTTTTAAGAAAATTAAGATTAGTTACATTATTTAAGATGTAGTTCCGCCGTGAGCGAAAGTAACAGCTCTACACATGTTTATCGACGAGAAAACATTGCGAGCCTGTTTGAAATATACATTACATAAGGTTCTATCACGAGCACATAATGTTCAGGTTGTTTCATGATCGAATCTGTAACTGTTTGTACTTTACTTTAAGTGTATATAGTACCGAAGAAAATCAGACAATTTCCTCGCGGTATTTCAAAGGCTGTGTATAAAACGGCTTCTCTCTTTAATTTTCTGCTTAACGATATTTATCGACACGACAATCGCTCGTTTGTTCCACGAGGAAGAATGAGGGGAGTCAGTCACAAAATTGCTCTTTAATGCAATGTGCAGTAATGGAACTGCAAAGATATTAATTAACGTAGAAAAAAATTTTATTCATGATACAAATAATGAATTATTGCTATTGTTTTTCTGTACTTGATATGTAAGGAAACGAACTCATTGTACACATCGTTAATTACACATCGAACAAATACATTCGTTTGCATAAAAAAAATCAATCGTTAGTGTTTCTTTTTTTATACTATCCAAATTTATTAAAAAAAAAATAACCAAAGTCAAGCTTGTCCGAAATGTACAAGTCTTTTCTTATCTGATATAAGGAACTATTTTTTTTTAACCCGTCCAGAAATTTTTCTGGAATCCATTTGCTTTTCCAGGCTGGAAAACGCGCCGGATAGCGCATTCTAATATTTCCCGCACGCGGCGCTACTCGACTCGATGGCGGGCGGTATTCAACAGGCTGATATTTATAGATTCGAGAGTTTCGTGCAAAGCTACACAACGTTTTAGGCGTCAAAATCCAGTTCCTATGTTCGTCAACATCCACGCGATGATCCATAGTTTTCAATTTGATCGTATGTATTCCATAAATTACAGCAGTCAGTAGTCGTTATTTTCAGAAAACGAAAGAGACTTGCTAAAGTACAGCATTCAAATATCGTGTGGAGTCAATCAAACTGTGTAGCTGACGTTTGAATATCGTTAATACTACTTTCGGTCGCGACACATTCCTGTCGAAACGATGTATCACATCGGAACGTTGGACCAAAGAAGAGGAAATTGAAAAGAAGAGACATCTTCCACTTCCATAGTCGATGTAACGTTTTCTTTCTCGAGTATTAGTCATACGTCCATTTGATCAAAAACATGTGATCTTCGCAAGGGTGAGAAGAGTGAAACTGAAGTAGAGACTCGGTGTCTTCTAACCTTTTCTTTCAAAAATTTCTGTGACAACCTCAGGGATTTTCCTTCTCGCTTGGAAGCCATATCTTTTTAATTATAATCGTAGCTCTTCTTCTTATTATTATTTGGTGCACAAAGGTTAAAAACGATGAAATCAGTGGTAAGTGAACAGTGCCGAATGTGACATCGGATCTGAAAAAGCCAATCAACTGTCAGAACTTATTCGGACGAGTAACGATACCGTTGATACAATTAAAATGACCAATTAAGGAGTCCAGTGTAATCCTCGATAAAGGAGATGATCGAGATTTAGAAGATTTAATGGTTATGCTTCGTTTCTTGTTGACTTGACTTATCAAGGTCACAATTCCTCCGATGACCCATTTCTTTGGTCGAGAATAGTCTATTATAATTTCACTAACAATGTGACGTGTTCTGCCCGCTGTTTCTTCGCGAAGGTGGAGTCAGTAAGTCTTAATCGATTGGAAGTGACCGATGTCTTGTTCGTGGCGGACAGAAAGGAAAATGTTG